TTAAAAAAAAGAAAAGAAAAGAAATGTCATAGTTTTCTTGGCTTTAATTTTATATCCTGATACATTGCCAAATTCATTTATTAAGTCTAATAATTTTTTGATGGAGTCTTTAGGGTTTTCTATGTACAGTATCATGTCATCTGCAAATAAGGACAGTTTTACTTCTTCTTTCCGAATTTGGATGCCTTTTATTTCTTCTTCTTGTCTGATCTCAATGGCTAGTACTTCCAGGACTATGTCAAACAGGAGTGGTGAGAGTGGGCATCCCTGTCTTGTTCCTGTCCTTAGGGGAAATGGTTTTAGTTTTTGTCCATTGAGTATGATGTTGGCTGTGGGTTTGTCATATATGACTTTTATTATGTTGAGGTATGATCCTTCTATTCCCACCTTGTTGAGAGTTTTATCAAGAAAAGGTGTTGGATTTTGTCAAATGCTTTTTCTGCATCAATTGATATGACTATGTGATTTTTATCTCTCAATTTGTTTATGTGATGTCTCACATTTATTGATTTGCTGATATTATACCATCCTTGCATCCCTGGGATAAATCCTACTTGGTCATGGTGTATGATCTTTCTGATGTATTGCTGGATCTGATTTGCTCAAATTTTGTTGAGTACTTTGGCATCTATTCATGAGGGATATTGGCCTATAATTCTCCTTCATTGTGTTGTCTTTATCTGGTTTTCGTATTAGGGTCATGTTAGCTTCATAGAATGAGCTGGAGAGTGTTCCTTCCTCTTGAATTTTTTGGAATAGTCTGAGGAGGATAGGTTTTAGTTCTTCATTGAATGTTTGGTAAAACTCCCCTGTGAAGCCATCTGGCCCGGGGCTTTTGTTTGCTGGGAGCTTTTGATGACTGCTTCAATTTCTTCCATAGTTATTGGCCTATTGAAATTTTTAGAATCTTCCTGATTGAGTTTTGGAAGGTTGTATTTTTCTAGGAATATGTTCATTTCCTCCATGTTGTCTAGTTTGTTGGAGTAGAGTTGTTCATAGGTTTTTTTTTTTAACAATTCTTTGAATTTCTGTGAGGTCTGTTGTTATTTTGCCTGTTTCATTTCTGATTTTGTTTATTTGGGTCCTCTCTCTTTGCTTCTTGGTGAGCCTGGCTAGAGGCTCATCACTCTTGTTTTTTCTTTCAAAGAACCAGTTCTTGGTTTCATTGATCTTTTGTACTGTTTTTTGGTCTCTATGTCATTTATTTCTTTTTTTAAAAAAAATATATTTTATTGATTTTTTACAGAGAGGAAGGGAGAGAGAGAGAGAGTCAGAAACATCGATGAGAGTGAAACATCGATCAGCTGCCTCCTGCACATCCCCCACTGTAGATGTGCCCACAACCCAGGTACATGCCCTTGACCGGAATCGAACTTGGGACCTTTCAGTCCGCAGGCCAACGCTCTATCCACTGAGCCAAACCGGTTTTGGCTCTATGTCATTTATTTCTGCCCTGATCTTTATTATCTCCTTCCTTCTGCTCACTCTGGGCTTTTCTTGTTACTCTCTTTCTAATTCTTTGAGTTGTAGAGTTAGATGATTTACTATGATTTTTTCTTGTTTTTTTGAGGTAGGCTGGTAGAGCTATAAACTTCCCTCTCAGGACTGCTTTCATTGTGTCCCATAGATTTTGGATTGTTGTGCTTTTATTGTCATTGGTTTCAAGGGTGTTTATGATTTCTTCTTGTATCTCATTGGTAACCTAATCATTATTTAGTAGCATGCTATTCAGCTTCCAAGTGTTTGAGTTTTTTGGATTGTTTTTATTTGTAGTTTGTTTCTAATATTTTGCCATTGTGGTCTGAGAAGATGCTTGGTATGATTTCCATCTTCTTGAATTTGGGAAGACTTTGCTTGTGACCCAATATGTGGTCTATTTTTGAAAATGTCCCATGTGCACTTGAGAAGCACGTATATTCTGTGGCTTTGGGGTGAAATGTTCTGAAGATGTCAATTAAGTCCATCTGATCTAGTGAGTCATTTAGGATTGCTGTTTCTTTGCTGATTTTTTTGTCTAGAGGATTTATCCAGTGATGTCAGTGGTGTGTTTAAGTCCCCTACTATGATTGTATTATTGTCAATCTCTCCTTTGATATCTTCCAGGAGTTTTTTTTTATGTATTTGGGTGCTCCTGCAATCGGTGCACATATGTTTATCAGGGTTATATCCTCTTGTTGTATCGATCCCTTTAGTATTATGAAGTGGCCTTCCTTATCTCTTGTTATGGCCTTCACTTTGAGGTCTATTTTGTCCGATATAAGTATTGCTACCCCAGTTTTTTTTTTTTAATTTCCATTTGCCTGAAAGATATTTTTCCATCCTGTCACTTTCAGTCTGTGTGAGTCCCTTCTAATGAGGTGGGTCTCTTGTAGACAGCAGATGTATGGGTCATGTCTTTTTATCCATTCAGCCACTCAATGTCATTTGATTGGAGAATCTAGTCCATTTACATTTAAAGTTATTATTGAAAGGTACTTGTTTGTAGTCATTTCTATTTTTGTGCCTGTGTTCCTTCTTACCTTTTTATTTCTTCTTTTTACAGCATTCCCTTTAACATTTCTTGCATTGCTGGCTTGGTAGTGATAATCTCCCGTAGCCTTTTTTTGTCTGCGAAGCTCCTGATTTCCCCTTCAATTTTGATTGATAGTCTTGCTGGATAGAGTATTCTTGGATTCAGTCCTTTGCTTTGCAACCCTTTGTATATCTCCTTCCATTCCTTTCTAGCTCAATGTGCTTCTGTTGAGAAATCATTTGATAATCTGATGGGGGATCCTTTGTAGGTAACTCTCTGTCTCTCTCTTTCAGTCTTTAAGATTCTCTCTTTGTCGTGAACATTGCCATCATTATTATGTTGTGTCTTGGTGTGGGTCTTTTGGGATTCATCTTGTTGGTACTCTCTGTACTTGTGTAACTGTTGTCTTCCCCATATCTGGGAAGTTTTCTGTCAATATTTCTTCAAATAGATTTTCTAATCCTTGCTGTTGTTCTTGTCCTTCTGGCAGCCCTATTATACATATGTTACTTTGTTTTGTGTTGTCCCAAAGCTCCCTTAGGCTCGCCTCCTGCTTTTTAATTTTTTTTCTCCAGTTTCTTTTCATATTGAGCTTGTTTCTCTACCTTATCTTCTAACTCACTAATTCGGTCCTCTGCTTCTTCTAGTCTACTGTTGAAACCTTCCATGGTGTTTTTGATGGTAGCTATATCGCTTTTGATTTCTTCCTGATTCTTGCATAGATTGTTGATTTTCTCATCCATCCGGTGTATGAATTGTATGACCATTACTCTGAATTCTTTTTCCGTCATGTTTCATGCTTCAATTTCACTAATTTCCTTTCTTGGCAACTCCATATTTTCTTTCCTCTGGGGATTGTGTCGTCTCCCCATTCTGACTATCTCCAGAAGTTTTAAACATCGAGTTGCATGGGCCTGGGCTGTGTGTAGTGGGAGCTTTGCACCACCCTAGTGTCACTGAAGAGCTCCGACACTAAGATGTGTGGTTGTCATGGGTTGTTGGGAACCAGGCTCTCTCAGATTCAGCGTTACCAGTGCTCAGTGTGGCCTAGTATGCACACTTAGAATCAGGGACCCGTCTGCATTGTGCTGAAACAGAGATCCCCCCTGGAGTGTGTTGAAAATCAGAGCCCCCTAGCGTGTGCCAGGAGTCAGAATTCCCCAAGAATCCAGTATCAGAGTCTCTGTTGCTTCACGTGGCCTAGCATTGAGAATCAGGGTCCGTGTGTGCATGCACCAAGAATTGGAGTCACTGGCTCTTAGTGTGAATGCACAGGGAATCAGGGATCTCAGGCGCAGGTGATAAGAAACAGAGTCAAGTCACTCGTGTTTAGTGCTGCCTCCCGCCCGGAGTATCAGGGTCCTGGAGCCCGTGCTGTGGGGAACAAGTTCCCAGTGTTCGTGCGTTCCCAGGCTAAAATTTCTGTAGCCCGTGCTGCGGGAAACAAATTCCCAGAGTTCGCGCATTCCTAGGCTAAATTTCCTGTAGCAGCGCTGAGGCCCGAGCAAGGGGTGGGTCTATCAGTTACTATGGCACTGCCCGAGAGCCTGCTGGGAGCAGGATGGGCTTTGTTACTCACAGAAATCTGCCGCCAGGATGTCTGGATTCTTGGTGTCTGTGGGTCTGTAGCTGTGGTCGCAGATCTCTGTCCCCAGTGGCTGTAGGGTCCTGGTTTGCGTCTGAGACCAGACTGGTTGGTGCTGAGGCCAGGATACTAGTGTCAAGCAGCTCTGTTTCTCAAGATGGCGTGGTCTCTGTGCCTGCGCTGGCCGCCCAGGAGTGTCCGCACTGGGAGCAGGGCTCTGCCATCTAAGACTGCCCCGTTTGGCAGCCCCTTGGAAGACCTGCAGAATCTAACTGTCCCTAGCTCATACACACACACACCCACCACACACGTCCACACACTCCTCTATCACTCCCTTGCTCTCTCACACTCTCTCCCTCCCTACCTTCTTGCCAGTTGCCATCTTCTATCGATCCATTTTTATTTTTTGAGGTAACTCCATACTGCTTTCCACAGTGGCTGCACCAATTTGCATTCTCACCAACAGGGTACTATGGTTCCCTTTTCTCCACTTCCCCAGAATACTTGCTCATTGATTTATTTATGATAATCATTCTGACAGGTGTGAGGTGATATCTCATTGTGGTTTTAATTTGCATTTCTCCAATGATTAGTGATGTTGAACATCTTTTCATATGTCAATTGGGCATCTGTATGTCCTCTCTGGAGAAGTGTCTATTCAGGTCCTTTGCCCATTTTTTAATTGAATTGTTTATTTTTGTGGTGTTGAGTTTTATAAGTTCTTTATCAATTTTGGATATTAACCCCTTATCAGATATATCATTGGCAAGTATGTTCTCCCATTCAATGGACTGTCTTTTCATTTTGTTGATGGTTTCTGTTGTGCCCAGATTTCAAGGTTCCCATAAAGCCCATCAGGGAGCCAGCGAGTCCGATGCAAAAGCAAAGAGTCCTTCATTTCGAACTAGTTCAGCTCCCTGACCGCACTCACCGATGCAACAACGGTAAGCCCAGTGGCCGAGAGAGAGCGAGGCCTGATGGGATTGTGGGTTTTATAGTAAGGGCAGGGGAGGGGACTGTGGGCCCCGCCAATTGGCCAGGCGCGAGTCGGGTCTTGTTACACAGGATGTGGTCATATTGATGGCGTGCACTTCCCTTGATTATCATTGGTTAGTCCAGAGAAATCCTGGGTGTGGCCAGCAGAGGCCTGGGCCTCCGGGAAGAAGCCCCCACCAAGCACATGGCTCTGCCCAAAAATGGAGGACCCAGGGCAAGATGTAGGGCGCAGTCCTCGCCCCCCCAAGGGCGAGCTGAGCCCAGGCTCCAGGGGCCAGTCCGGTTGCCGGGGGTCCAGCAGATCGACCAGTTCCAGCCCAGACAGGAAGTCCACATCCTCCGTCTCGTCCCCGGGGGCGCCGGCAATCGCCTCCTCCTCCATCTCCTCGGGCAAGGTCACACACCCCGCCCAGCCGCCGCCGCCTGCGTGGGTCCAGTCCGAGGGGGGGGGGGGCAGCGGGTGGGTGGCCTGCGCTGGGCTCCCGCTGTGGGCTGGGGAGTTGGTGCCCGAGGCCGCCAGCAGTGTGGTCAGGCTGTGCCTCATGGGGCCCGGCCCACGTAGGCCCCGCGATGACTCGCCCTTTCAGTTTCATTGCTGGGCAAAACATTTTTAGTTTGATGTACTCCCATGTGTTTATTTTTTCTTTTCTTTCCCTTGCCCGAGGAGATATATCAGGAACACTATTGCTATGAGAAATTTTTGAGATTTTGCTATCTAACATTTAAGTCTTTAATCCATTTTGAGTTTATTCTTGTGTGCAGTGTAAGAAGGTAGAAATGTCCATACTACTCAAGCAATCTATAGATTAAACACAATTCCTATCAAGATACCAATGGCATGTTTCACAGAACTAGGACAAATATTCCAAAAATTTATATGGAACCACAAAATACTCTGAATAGCAACAGCGATCTTGAGACAGAAGAATGATGTTGGAGGAATCATGCTACTTGATATCAAACTATATTACAAGGCTATAGTAATCAAAACAGCATGGTACTGGCATAAAAACAGACATATAGATCAATGGAACAAAATAGAGAGTCTTGAAATAAACCCATAGCTTTATAGATGGAGGAGGCAAAACCATATAATAGGCTAAGAATAGTCTATTCAACAAGTGGTGTTGGAAAAATTGGACAGATATGTGCAAAAAAATCATCTTACTTATTTTAAACTCCCTGTGTTATAAACCCAATATCTGGATCTCCTCTCCACCTCTCTCTATTACCTTTTTTATCTTACGATTTTGTGTCAATTTTTCCTGCTTCTATTTTACTTTCTTTTATTCCATTTTAAATAATTCTTTATTGTTGAAAGTATTACATATGTCTCCCTTTCCCCCCCCATTAACCCCCTCTAAGCCCCCCAGCCTCCCCTCAGACCCTCACCGCCCCATTGTCTGTGTCCATGGGCTCTGCATATATGCATACAAGGTCCTTGGTTGATTACTTCCCACCCACCTACCCTCCCCTGCCTTCCCTACAAGATTCTGCACTCTGTTCCATGCTTCCATGTCTCTGGATCCACTCCATTCATCAGTTTATTTTGTTACTTAGATTCCACATATGAGTGAGATCATGTGATATTTGTCTTTCTCTGACTGACTTATTTCACTTAGCATGATACTCTCCAGATCCCTTCATGCTGTCTCAAGGGTAAGAGATCTTTCTTTTTTACTGCTGCATAGTATAGTATTCCATGGTATAAATGTACCACAGCTTTTTTATCTACTCATCTACTGATGGGCACTTGGGTTGTTTTCAGATCTTAGTTATTGTAAATTGTGCTGCTATGAACATAGGGGTGCATACATTCTTTCTGATTGGTGTTTCAGGTTTCTTAGGATATATTCCTAGAAGTGTGAACACTGGGTTAAATGGCAGTTCCCTATTTAATTTTTGGAGGAAACTCCATACTCTTTTCCATAATGGCTGCACCAGTCTGCATTCCCACCAGCAGTGCACGAGGGTTCCTTTTTCTCCACATCCTCACCAGCACTTGTCATTTGTTGATTTGTTGATGGTAGCCATTCTGACAGGTGTGAGGTGATACCTCATTGTCATTTTAATTTGCATCTCTGATGATCAGTTACTTTGAGGATTTTTTCATATGTCTCTTGGCCATCTGTATGTCCTCTTTGAAGAAGTGTCTACTTAGGTCCTTTGCCCATTTTTTAATTGGATTGTTTGTCTTTCTTTTGTTATGTTGTATGAGTATCTTATATGTTTTGGATATTAACCCTTTATTAGATGTACTAGTGTCCTGGTGCACGAAATTTGTGCGGGGGGGGGGGGGTTGGTGTCCCTCAGATCAGTCTGCACCCTCTCCTGTCTGGGGCCCCTTGGTGGATGTCTGACTGCCGGATTAGGCCTGATTCCTTGACTGACTGCTGGTTTAGGCCCGATCCCCTTGTGGGGAACTGGATCCCTTGTGGGATCCGGCCTAAACCAGCAGTCGGACATCCCTCTCACAATCCAGGACTGCTGGCTGCTAACTGCTCGCTTGCTTGCCTGTCTGATTGCCCCTAACTGCTTCTGCCTGCCAGCCTGATCAACCCCTAGCCACTCCCCTGCCAGCCTGATTGACATCTAACTGCTCACCTCCCTGCCTGATTGCCCCCAACTGACCCCCCCTGTTGGCCTGATCACCCCCAAGGCTTTTATTAGTATAGATATGACCCCTTACAGAAAATTTCACTAACCCTGCTTTACAATAAGGGCTTGATGATTGAATCATTGGGGCCAGACACCAAGATTTCCTTTCTTTGAATGGTGGAGGGAATAATTACCTTGTCTTTAAGTTGCCCTGAAAATCAGATGAGATAATGACTTAGGAAAGTATAAAAGCACCATATAAAGACAACTGTCTTTTTCATGTGCTGAAAAGACAATAAAGTGGTAAAATGGAAAACACTATTTTTATTCTCCCCCTTCGTTCCTTTACAACCTTTATTTAAATTTTGAAATTTATAAAAATTTCTTTTTTTTTTGGGCAATGATTTCTTTTTTATTATTATTATTTTATTTTATTTTATTGCTTACAGTCTTACAAAGGGTATTACATATGTGTCCTTTTTTTCCCCCGCCCTTGACAATCCCCTGGCCTCCCCTACCCCCCAGTGTCTTATGTCCATTGGTTATGCGTATATGCATGCATACAAGTCCTTTGGTTGATCTCTTACACCCCTCCCTCCTGCCCCCCACCCCTCCCCAGCCTTCCCGCTGCAGTTTGACAATCTGTTTGAGGCTGCTCTCCTCTGTATCTATTATTGTTCAAAAGTTTATAATGGTCTCTATTATCCATGAATGAGTGAGATCATGTGGTATTTTTCCTTCATTGACTGGCTTATTTCACTTAGCATAATGCTCTCCAGTTCCATCTATGCCATTGCAAATGGTAAGAGTTCCTTCTTTTTTACAGCAGCATAGTATTCCATCGTGTAGATGTACCACAGTTTTCTAATCCATTCATCTACTGATGGGCACTTAGGCTGTTTCCAGATTCTAGCTATGGTGAATTGTGCTGCTATGAACATAGGGATGCATATATCCTTTCTGATTGTTGTTTCTGGTTTCTTGGGATATATTCCTAGAAGTGGGATCACAGGGTCAAATGGGAGTTCCATTTTCAGTTTTTTGAGGAAACTCCATACTGTCTTCCATAGTGGCTGCACCAGTCTGCATTCCCACCAGCAGTGCACGAGTGTTCCTTCTTCTCCACATCCTCTCTAGCACTTGTCATTTGTTGATTTGTTGATGATAGCCAATCTGACAGGTGTGAGATGGTACCTCATTGTTGTTTTGATTTGCATCTCTCGGATGATTAGTGACTTTGAGCATGTTTTCATATGTCTGTTGGCTTTCTGAATGTCCTCTTTTGAAAGGTGTCTATTTAGGTCCTTTGCCCATTTTTTGATTGGATTGTTTATCTTCCTTTTGTTAAGTTGTATGAGTTCCCTATAAATTTTGGAGATTAGGCCCTTATCAGATATGACATTGGCAAATATGTTTTCCCACGCAGTGGGCTTTCTTGTTGTTTTGTTGATGGTTTCTTTTGCTGTGCAGAATCTTTTTATTTTGATGTAGTCCCATTTGTTCATTTTCTCTTTAGTTTCAAGTGCCCTAGGAGCTGTATCAGTGAAGAAATTGCTTCGGCATATGTCTGAGATTTTGTTACCTTTGGCTTCTTCTAGAATTTTTATGGTTTCCTGTTGTACATTTAAGTCCTTTATCCATTTTGAGTTTATTTTTGTGTATGGTGTAAGTTGGTGATCTAGTTTCATTTTCTTGCATATATCTGTCCAATTTTCCCAACACCATTTATTGAAGAGACTATCTTGGCTCCATTGTATGTTCTTGCCTCCTTTGTCAAATATTAATTGAGCATATTGGTTCGGGCCGATTTCTGGGCTCTCTATTCTATTCCATTGATCTATATGCCTGTTCTTGTGCCAGTACCAGGCAGTTTTGAGAACAGTGGCTTTGTAATACAGCTTGATATCAGGTATTGAGATCCCACCTACTTTGTTCTTTTTCAGGATCGCTGCAGCTATTCGGGGTCTTTTTTTATTCCAGATGAATTTTTGGAGAGTTCGTTCTAGTTCTGTGAAGTATGCCGTTGGTATTTTAATGGGAAGTGCATTGAATTTATAGATTGCTTTGGGTAGTACGGACATTTTAATGATGTTGATTCTACCAATCCATGAACACGGTATGTTCTTCCATCTGTTTATGTCTTCCTCTATATCTTTTTTCAACGTCCTGTAGTTTTCTGAGTAGAGGTCTTTTACCTCTTTAGTTAAGTTTATTCCTAGGTAGCTTAATTTTTTTGGTGCGATGGTGAATGGGATTGTTTTTATAATCTCTATTTCTGAAAGTTCACTATTGGTGTATAGAAATGCCTCAGATTTCTTGGGGTTAATTTTGTATCCTGCTACATTGCCAA